AATTTAGTAGAATCATTTTCTTTGTATTTATTTCTTTCACCTAACAAAGTGTTACAACCGTATTCCTATATCATTAAGTGCCTTTACAACACCACACTTAATGGCTGAGTAACATTATGTTAATACGAATTTTGAAATTTGTTTTTATTCACTTCTTTCTTTGTTAATTGTAAGACCAATTTTCTGTGTCTCTCCAAACGAATAGTTTTAAAGTGTTCAGGGAATTCCTGGCGTGTTTAAGTTATACAGTGAAACTAAAAGCGTGGATAAATATATCTGGATTTACCTCCTGGAATGATGAAGTGATGTTAGAATACTTTAGATATTAGAAATAAATTATTGCTTTCTTTTTCTTTTTTTTTTTGCTTTCTTTTTCTATGTTATTTATTTTTACAAGAACATTAAGAGCAAAAGATTTTGCTAAAGAAAATATTTAACAGGTTTGACTGCAATCACACAGGGAAAATGAGGTAAGAAATAGTCTGTGGACATGCAATGGCCAAATTAAAATTATCATTACTAAAGTGGCAAAGATATAATTAACTCCTATATAGATTAATTGCATTGGCAACGTATAATGAAGGATACTGTCCAAAAAGCATTTTAGACAAATCTTCAGTGCAGAAGCAGGTAGTGATTTAGCCTTGAAATAATGAGAAATCGTGTTTTGGTAACCTGTGGAAGGTGGAAAATAGTGGGATACCAGATTTTTTAAAGTGATATTTTGCCAGTGGGTGTTTCATCAGCTGGAATCTGTCTCTTCTCATTCGGGAATATTTTCACATTCAGGCTCAATTTTGTCAATGCTTAGCACTGAATACAGTGCTTATTAATCCACAGTCCTCTCCACCGCTGAGAACAGAGTTCACACTAGCCAGCTCAGGGATGAAATGGCACTTGTTACTCCACATCTTAGGACCTCTCACAGTGAGTAGGGAAGGCTGTAATGCCAGACGGGGCTTGAGAGGCTCTTACACAGGGATTCTGACTTTATATTGCTTTAGTGGTAGCACAATGCTATCATTTGTGCCAGTAAATATGTAAAATATATGTTTAACGAGAGTTTATAAATGGGATAGAGAAAGATTGTTTTGCATTCTACATCTACAGAGAACGAGTTGGCACATGGTTTATTACAAATTTTAGTCCAGAAATATTGTTTCTTCTCACTTATGTATGCAAGCTATATCCACGCACATTTCTTTCTATATTTCCTATTAGCGATTCTGAGAAAGCCATTTAAAAGCCTTTATGTATGGTGTCACTCTATGAGGCTGCCAAGTTTCACTTGATTTTTAAAAAGATCACAAATAGGATTAAGTTTCTATATTTATACCATCCATGTTTTCGTAGCTTCAACTTTTATCTTCCTCCATACAGACACCAAATCCACCATTCTGACTTTTTCTTCCCTGTATTTGACCTCAAGAATCTTTATAACAAGGGGAGAAAATGTTCTAAAAGGAGATAATAGAAAACATTTTATTATGTCTACTTTCAAGACTGGTCCAGAAGTTAAAATGCAATTTCTATGTATTTAATCCATCTAAATAAGGTGAACTATCAGTGACAGATATCATACATGTTGTTAGATATCTACATGTTTTCTTTCTTCCATTCAGTAAAACACAGCATATATTCCATGCCCTTAAGTTTGTATTTCCAGTCTTACTTCTACTGGTAAATATCTATTTGTTACTAGACAGATCACTTAATATGTCTCAATATAAATTTCTTCATATGTGAAGGTAATACATTACAGACAATACGTTTTCTAATAGTAAAATTATATAATCGTATTTGGATATAATATCTGATGAATTTTATAATAGTGTTATTCAAATATTATTTTGTAATTTTGTGTTAATAGAAATGTCACTTAATTTTTGTATGTTAAGTATCTTGAAATATATATTTTCAAAATATGCAATTAAATATAGTTCACTCTATATTTTATTTAATATTTTTAAATATGGCTAGTTATTGGCAATGAGGTTAAATCTAAACAAATTAACATGAGACACAGTGTTAGCATTTTTCCATGTTGAAATGTTTTGCATGCTTATATCCATACATTCATCTAACTGGAAAACATATCCAGGATTGCAGATGCAGGGTGGAAATGCCACTGCTTTTTTTTCTAGGGCCCTTTTTAGACTAATTGATAGCATTTTTCCTTATTAGCTCAGACTCTGCCTGAATATTTCTCAGTCTGGCACTGCTGACAGCTGTCAACACTCTTCAATCAGAAGTGGACCATTATTTGAAACATTTTTTCCCTTCCCCTGAAATGTATGACCATTATAGACAATTTGGCATCTAGAAGAGTATAAACAAAGCCATAATATTTCAGAATTTAGACATACCTACTTCTACCATTTTTGTTTGTGTATTCAAATAAAAGGATACTCCTATCTGCTTTGTAATGATTTAGGATTGTAAAATAATGATAGTTTAACTTTTAATTTTAAATTTAATTGTAAAATATTTCAGTTATATGCTTATTCTGAAAAAAAATCTAACATATGGTAGAAAAATCACTCGGATTTGATGAGTGTTATTATCTGGCATATTTACTTGAGATTGTTTAGAGGGAGAAAAATGTGACAGGTATTTCCAAACTTCAATCTTTAAACCATTTTCTCTCCCTACTAACATGGTAATTACCATAATAAATTTTGTATATCATTTTTCTTTTCCTAGACTTACTTTACAGAATCTATGTATGACAAAAGTTTTATATGGCATCATCTTATAGTTTTGAGACATTTTATAATTGGTATCCTATAGTACCCTGATTTGAACTTTATTTTTCCATATATAGTTTTCAAATTACTGAATTTATATTTGCCTCACAGTGGACAAATGTGAAAGTTTCTCTAGGTATAAAGCAGTAAAAAATTAGCTGTTTATAGATTCAACTAATTTTTAAATTTAGTAGATTTGGCAAAACTATTCCTCAAAATGATTATTCAAATTTTCAATTTCATCAGCATTGTATAGGGGTTCTGTTTTTTTGTGTGTTCTCATCAATAGTTGATAGTTGATATAAACTATTTAATTATTTTTGTCCACCATGGTGATTTGAAAAATACAGAATAAATTGTTATTTTTGTTATAATTTATAAATTTTAAATTTATAAATTTTAAACACAGGAGAAGAATAAAATAATAGCTATGCAAGTGCTCATGACCCAATTTCAAAAATTAATTATCAAGCCTTTGCCTCATGGTTCCTACTGTTTCTGAAATGTTTTTTTTTAAAATTCTAGATGTCATGTTATTTCCAATACCAACATGCTTCAGTATACATGACCAAAAGTAGGGTATGTAACTTATATAACCACAAAGAAACTTATGTAACTAACAAAATTCATAATATTTTCTATCATCTCAAGATACTGAATCACCATATTGGAACTTTACAAATTCATAAAAAATTAAATATAAAAATAAATTCGTACAAATTAAGTTCTAGACAATGCTGTAATTTTACACTTGTTCTTGTATGTTTAAAATATCTTTTAATCTAGAGCAATATCTTCCCTAAAACTCCTCACTTCTTTTCTAGATGAATGAAAATATCATAATAGAAAATGACACAAATGCATTACCCAACATTATAATTATACTTTACACTACTGTTAGTGAGAGTTTTACATGTTTATTTTTTTAAGGTTTACATATTTATACAAAATAGCTTTCTCCTTAGAAAACTGAACTTATTTTGAATATTTTCAATATTTACTATCAAAGGTATATTTTAGCAATTTCTAAGCAACAGACATTATTTGCATTTCAAACTCTTAACATAAAGATGAGATTCATCTTCAGTTTTCACCTCAGTTGAATTTCCTCATAGTCTTCCTTGAAGGAACTCAGAGATACCACGGAATCCCGATTTATGACATTGCGTTCTTTCTTAATTAGGTATTTTTAATGACTCTTTCTAACAAGAGTCAAAGACTTAAAATATCTCTTGGAGGTTGTTCAAAAATACGTGGAGAAGATTCAACGTGAGATATTAGAGAAAACTAACAGTAACAGGGATCTGGCTTTTCTGTCGATTATGTAGTATTAAACGACATCGTAGATCTGACAAAATTATTTTTCTTCATAAGTCCCAAACAAACAAATCCAATTTGATTATATGGAAGTGCTAAGTCAGTGTGTTAAATGCAAAGCTATTCAATTTCCTATAAGGGGGAGAATTACCGATCATTTCAAAGAGAGTTGGTATGATCAATATCAGTTAAATGGAAAGTTTTACACGTAAAATTCAGTAGTTGAAGTTTCTCTTTTAATATTTCAATAATAGAAGATACCTTTTATCTCCATCTTATATATTATAAATGATCAGCCATTTTTTCCCAGGCACTATATTTTGTATTTATATCCTAAAAATAGTATCATCTCTTTGTTAAGATGAAAAGCATTTCTATTCATATGTTTCATAATATAAAATGGTAAATATCTTACATGGGCTTTCTATTCACAGTGTGTTTTATAACATAGGTATAACTGATTATAAATCCCCCAGGTTTCAAACTGAATTGTCATTTTGTCTATTTAATACTAGATAAAATAATATAAATTGGGAAATTGGATTAGGAAACTTTTTGCTATTTAAAAAAGGAGAAAAATCACATTTTTTCCTTTGGATTGACTATTGAGTTTTACAGAGATAGAATGGAAGAAGGTTAAATTAAAGGAAAAGAAAAATCTATCTCAATGTCAGCTATCAATCAAGGAGATTGCCAGACCAACTTTTCAACCTTCAGGCAGATTTATGGCTACAGCTTAAAATGGACAGGACTTGACCAGAAGTTTCCAATTATACAATTCAAATTATTGCTGAGCTACAAAATACAACTAGCTTAATTGGAGGATAAATGTATATTCCATTTTTATGATTGCAAAAGTTGTACCCCTTCTTTGGCAATTATGTAAGAAAATGTTATTTTTAAATGTAAAATTTTGTTTTGTTTCCTGTTCTTTAGGACTATGAAAGATACCTAAGACTTAAAAAGATTACAAAGAAACATACAATTTTTGTTTGCAACTACTCTTTCCTCTGAAGAATACCAGTTGGAATAAAAAAAAAGCAGAATGAATTATTGCTTCCTGCTACCTTTAATGTTGGGAATTCCTCTCATGTGGCCTTGCTTTACAGCGACAGAAAGCTCTAAAACAGAAGAAGTTAAGCACCAAGCGGGTTCTCATTTAAGAGTGAAGCGTGGTTGGATGTGGAACCAGTTTTTTGTACCAGAGGAAATGAATAAGACTGATTATCACATTGGTCAGGTACTGATTTTATGAAGGTGTTACAGGAAATAACATTATATAACTCTAAATGAATGGGTTGAGGAAGTTTTTTTAGGGCATTGGATGAATTCTACATTTTCTCAGTGGAACCCTTAGAAAGCTTCAGACATTGGCCTAATTAATGGTTTCAGATTTTCAAGCATGTAAAATATTTGCAAAATGTGAGGAAGAAGAAAAGCCCTGATTTTCAAATTTCACCTTTGTCTCTCACATGGAAATACAGCCCGTATTTATTAGCATCTGGAAATTTAATGGTGTTATTTTTGGTAATGGATCAAAGCAACCACACTGAGAATAATAACATTTACCAACAGTATTTAGCCTGATTTTCTATTATGCTCAGTAGGTGTTGATTTACCCATCATTAATTTTTCATGAAGCAGATTAATACCAAATCCTTTACAGCTAAGTAGCTTCAAGAGCCTACACACTTCATTTATGAAGTATAAAGAATAATTATCTTTACTTTCTTCTAAGAATATATATATATATATATATTTTAAATACATATTTTAAATTTCCTTAGTGAGATAGAGAATCTCCTATTTATGTTTTTGGTTTTTATTATTATTCAATTTTCCTTAAACAGAGGTAATTACAATTCCATGTCCTTTTCTGTGAGGATCTTTCTCTAGATGAATGATCTGAAATAAGTTTAACCGCTAATTAACTGGCACTAAAATTTAATTGGGCCCAAAGGGTGAAGCACTCAAAATTCATTAACTCCCATTTCCTAGCCCTTTCAGGAGAGCCACCAGGTTAGTGTGATGTCCACATTCCAAAGGAGTTCAGCTATCCCATCCAGCAAATGTACACGTGTATGTTCCACTGAAGGCTTAGATGAGGATCTTAGGCAAACAGATTTCAAACCTTTGTATATGTATGTGTGCCTGCTATGAGTCATATTTCTCACCTTTTTATTCTCTAAGATGACTGCAGGTAAATCAGAGGCAGAGTGGCACAAATGAGGTCCATAGTTAAGTGTTTGCTAGTGAACTGAGTCTCTGTAGCCACATTTACCGTGAACTCCACAGAGCACCATCTGCTCTCCCATCAATGAGCGGGGTGACAGACTAACAGAGCCTGGTGGCTTCTAGTGAATAAGGCTCTCCAGGGAAGTGCATCAATACAATCAGAGCAGAGACTACCTCCCTGGCTGACTGTCACATTTTCCAGTTTTTGTTTTTGTGCTCCGGGCACATCTCCTGTTTTCTTCCTTTCACAGAGTGATTGGTTTTGCCTATTTCTTTCATTCTATAAAAATACTTAGGAAAATATCCTAACAGATGGTTTCCCCTGAAACAATGTCATCAGTCTTAAATAACATACAGATAGCTGGTTTAAAAGAGAGTAATAATGAATATTTAGGTGTTATAATTAAAGAACTGGTTAAAAATAAAAATGTAGCTAATGTGTCCAAGATGACTTTCTTTTTGAACTATATGTTAACAGAGATTAAGTTTGCAAAGCACAGTTAAATAAAAAATAATAATAATAAAGGCATATTGACTTGCCAAATCAATAGTTAATTGCCTAGTTGAAAAAAATATTTTGAATAGAAATATAGAAAATATCATTAATACAGAATTTGTGAAATTAAAATGTGTTTAACTTATGTGTTTTGTGACATTAAGTGGCTCGAGTTTAAAAAAGTAAGTATATATATATATATATATATATATATATATAGGCTTAAATCTGAGTCCTAAAAAGATTAAGCTCACTGATCTATGAACATTATACTGTGCATATACTTGGAATACATTTATTCATTACTAAATTTGATTTATCATCATTCTAATATTGAATGAAATTTTTACACCATAATCGAAATGATATTTGAAAAACGTAAGCCATACTTGACTTTCGTTTGATATACTTATTGGAAGGAACATTTATTTCCCTTAATATCTTATTAGAAATTTGTAGAAATTTCTTTTTTTATTATGAGTAATGAAGAATTATCAAATTAAAAGAGCTATAGCTCTTTTATTATCTCTTTATTATTATTCCCAATCTGTTTCTTTCAATGAATAGCAGTTTTATTCAACACAGTATTAAAATGAGTTGTTTTAGATATCTTCAAAAGTTCTATCCAATCACAGAGAAATGTATTAATTGGTCTGTTGTACCTTGAGCTATCAAAAAAGTTATGAATTTATTTAAGACTGTAGGTCTTTGGTTACCTTTGTAAATTTTCAGAGAAGCTCTTACTTTGAAGAAGGACATAATCATAAATTATGAATCAAGAAAATTGTGGATTCACAAGAATTAGAGGATTATGGCATACTTCTCTTTATGGAAAACCAATTTAGATATGAAAAACCAGCCAACCAGTGTTACCTGTATCATAATAACCCTTGTTTTTATATATAATATTCAAAATTCCATTAACACTATGAATGAATAAATTTGCTTTGCTTTTAAAAAATAAAAATAGTAAAAAATAAAAATAGTGAGGGCACAAGAAGAAAAGATATATTTGAGAATTGAATAGAATATGTTGGAAAGAAAGAGATCTAATTTGGCAAAACTCAGAGCAGTAGAGACCCTGGGGTTAGGGCCTCTGTTGTCCAAACCATAAACCTATGCAAATATCATGACTCTGTGAAAGTTTTATTTATTTATTTATTTATTTATTTTCTTTTTTAATTTTTATTTATTTATGATAGTCACAAAGAGAGAGAGAGAGGCAGAGACACAGGCAGAGGGAGAAGCAGGCTCCATGCACCGGGAGCCCGACGTGGGATTCGATCCCAGGTCTCCAGGATCGCACCCTGGGCCAAAGGCAGGCGCCAAACCGCTGCGCCACCCAGGGATCCCTCTGTGAAAGTTTTAAAAAATTTCAGTCTCTCTCTGTATAAATGATTATATCAATAATATATTTCTCATGATGTAATAAGGATTAATTGGAAAATCACATATAAAGCAACTTGTATATTATGGCATCTTATAAATGCTAACATGGATGACTGAAGCTCTTCTTATCTTCTCAACATGCTCTCTATTTTCTTGGTAATATTTTCATGTTTCCTATGTGTTTTTAGCCTAGAGACAGAACATCATTGTTTAAATTTATCCTATCTGTCTCTAGGTCCCAATCTAATACAAATATTTGAGAGTATGGTTTCAGTGACTAAGAATAAACATGAAACAACTTTGTCGTCCATAATTTATGTAAGGTACTTTGTTTTTCAATTATTGTAGTGTCTAATTAGAATAATCTATTTACAGTAATAAATTTGTATAATGATTTACATCAAAATTTCAGTCTCATATGCCTGATGATAAAATTTAATCTTAAAATTAATATTTCACCTGATTTAATATACTGTGGGAATTATATGGAGTTATTAACTTGGGGAAAAATTAAAAGACATGAAAATAAAATCGTTAAAATTGATTTGTCCATTTAACATGTCTGGAAACTAAATTATCCTTCTTTGTACTTGCAGCTAAGATCTGATCTAGACAATGGAAACAACTCTTTCCAGTACAAGCTTTTGGGAGCTGGAGCTGGAAGTATTTTTGTCATTGATGAGAGAACAGGTGACATATATGCCATCCAGAAGCTTGATAGAGAGGAACGATCCCTCTACACTCTAAGAGCCCAGGTAATAGACAGCACTACTGGAAGGGCTGTGGAACCTGAGTCTGAGTTTGTCATCAGAGTTTCGGATATCAATGACAATGAACCAAAATTCCTAGATGAACCTTATGAGGCCATTGTACCAGAGATGTCTCCAGAAGGTATTGCATATTAATTTACATCAAAGATATATTAACAATGACAACAGATTTAGAATTTTGAGCTTATGTTTTGGAAGTGAATTATTTAATTATTCACCACTTGTACTTCCTTCTACAAACGTGTTAAGTAAAATAATTTAAAAATCAGACTATCATTTAAATTTTATAAACGACGGTACTATATATTAATACATTATTTGTCTTCTCAAAATACCTGTCTTCAAGGCAATAAAAAAGCATTAAAAAGGGCAGCCCCGGTGGCACAGCGGTTTAGCGCCGCCTGCAGCCCAGGGTGTGATCCTGGAGACCCAGGATTGAGTCCCACGTCGCTCGCTGCATGGAGCCTGCTCCTCCCTCTGCCTGTGTCTCTGCCTCTCTCTCTGTGTCTCTCCTGAATAAATAAATAAATAATCTTAAAAAAAAAGCATTAATCATGTATGTTTTAGTGATTTATAAAATTCTTTCACTTAGTCATTTATTAGTTTCTCCATTTCAAAAATTTGTTTTCCAAAACAAGATATAATTTTGCATCTTAAAAAAAGGCACATAAGGTCAACCTGAAAAATATGCATGTGCAAGTAGTAGAAGGCAATTTGTAAGACACAAATACTATATGCATCAAAATCATGGAATACAGACTAAAAACAAAGTCGTTGAACACCTCTGTGCAACTGTATTTACTTTCAAAGTTCCTTTCAATTCCAATGTTATTTTTATAGATATTTTAAATATAATGCATATAGAAACAAGTGCTTTCCATATGACATAAGAACTGAAAGCACTGAAAATAAAAAAAAATGTGTTTCTAATAGACAGGAAATTATGGTGTAGCTATGCAAAATTTGTCCAATCATTGAGCCAGAAAATTTTGATAGTACAATATATAATAAAATTAACTTCATAAAATCACTTAAGTGTGATAAATTCTATTCAGTAATGGTCATTTTTAATTATGCTAGCATGCATTAAAATTGCTTTACCTAAACATTTGATTTATTAGCCACCAAATCTAAAAATGTATATTCTATTGTATATTTTTCTGATTCTTATTAACATTTCAAGAAGCAATTTAAAGACATCTTTCTACATGTGTTCAGAATATAGATCTTTGCGGCATAAACAAATTCAGCTGTGAATATATATCAGGACCAATTATCATTAGATGTAAATGACTCGTTAATATTGTACTATTTGGTAGCTAGGCAATGAAATATTTCTTATTCCTACTCCATCCCCCTCCTCCTCATTCACTTCCTCATGCTACTCTTCTTCCTCTTAGACAGCATACAATATGGACCTAACATTTACTAGAAAAATTTTTGAATTGTAACTTTGGAAATAATTGCTAGTACGAAACTTATATTTTAGTTAAATCACACAAACAGTAACTATTTTAAATAAGTTGATATTTGATACTATATGTATAAAAGTTAATTATGGGTGAGGTATGATGATGATTAACTGACTGGAGGAAGTGGAGACATTTTAGGAGATGATATTTGAAGTTGATTACAAAGAGTCCAGTCATGTTATTATGTTCTAGGAAAATATTCCCATACAGTATCAGGAAGATTGCATATATTAATATGGGAGTTATTGTCATATAGCAAACATGTAGGCATAGCAATATATGAGATTCCCATGTAGACATGGCAATGAATGTAAGCAGAAAAAAAACATGCAGGATGAGTTAACTGTTCAGCAAAAGGGGATTGACTGGTAAATTAGGATGATTGACCTTGGCCAGTGATGTGGGAAAAAGAAAGACATGAGAAGAAATGTTTCAAAGGAAGACATCCTGCAACTATATGGAATACTGCTGTGAGGTTAAATAAAATCAAGAAAATGTAGTGGCTTTTGCTTTGTCAAGCTGAAGGCTCCTAGTGATTTTGGTAAGAGTAATTCACTTGAATTTATGCAACTGCAATATTTTGGAGCTCATTCTGTTGCAAGAATGGATGAAAAAGAGGAGGTTACAATGAATTTAGCCAATTTCAAAAGATGTTATACTACAGGGAGAACATAGAGATATGGGTAGAGAGAGATAAAGAAAGAGGATTTTTTTGTTATCATTAATCATTTAAAAATATGAGAAGTTTAAAAGCACAGTTATATACTATAGGGAATGATCCAAAAGAAAACTGTTTTCGAAGCAAAATAAGAGAGCTCTAACTATTCTTGAGAAGGGAAAGACCCATGGAATCTAGAGCAATAGTAGAGAAGACAGATTTGGGTAGGTTAACACATTGGTTGATAATAAACCTATTAATAAGTGTTTCTATCCATTAGGTATGAGACAAAGGTAATAATTGAGAACAAAATGGGTAGATTTTTAGATAGAGAAAAGGGAAAAATAGCCATTTTTTATAGTTGGAGAGTTGAACCACAAAGGAATTGCAGTATGTGCAGTACAGTCTTTGCATCATGGCATTGAGTATAGTCACAGGACTGTGGGTTGATTCAACAAAGATCACAAAACATTGGTTTGTTCTATTTGGTGTTTGGCTAATGCAGATATCTTTGCTTTGTAATTCAAGGTTCATGTATGTATTAACCTAGTTAACTTGTGTAATTAAGTACATCTTGTAGGACTGCCCTCCGGTTTTGGGCCATGTATGGAATCATACTAAAATCAACAAGCACTTTTTATTCCTTTCAATGGGTAGAAGTGACCAACAGAAAAATAGTCAGCTGTTATTAGAAATGTTATCTTACATAGAAATAGAGGAATACCCCATTGCTCTGAAAACTATGGTGTAGGTGGTTTCCCTATGAAGCATTCCTGTAATTATAAACTTTGTTTTGAAGAAATCAATATTATATGTGATTTTTCTGTTTTCCTAAATCTCAATATTTATATAATGAATAATATGAATCGTTTTACCTGAATATATAGTTAATTTTTCATGCTCTTCCCATATCATTGCCATTTTGTAAGGTCTTCAGTGTTGATCTTGCTTCCAAATACCCTACCCACCTATCTTATCCTTTACAAAGCAACAAGTGTGAACATTTTATTCTCTGTTGTCTTAACTATTTTATAATATATTGTACTCAACTGCCAATTATTATATTTGAATCTGTGCTTTGAATGTAGAATTAGGTAGAGTACTGAAAGGAATCTCCATTTAAGGATGTCATCAGAAGAGAAACCAAGAAAACCACGAACTACTTGTTGGTTGTTGAATACATATTTATTTACAAGTAACAGTGGGCTTTTACTGAGTATATTTATATTAAAAATGCAATTACTTTCAAAACAAGAACTACCAAATATCCAAATGGATAAAGCATTGTTTTTCCACTTGTTGGTCTGGAATTACAAAATTATCTCTCTTCCACAAAAAAGTATAAGATCGAATAGGCTAGAAGTTACACAGTGCCTGAAGTTTGTGATGATTGAGTTAAAGAATGAGTACATGAATGGGTGAAAAACTATAGATAAGGATGAGAGATAAACAGAGGATTTTGGTGGATATAAAATCCAGGGAGAGTCTGTGGGTGTGAGTTGAGGCAGAGTAACCTGAAGTGCTGCAGGCAGTCTCTGAATAGTGATTCCTGAATTTTAAAATTTCCCAGTGCAGAACTTCTAGAAAATTTAAATTTCTAGAAACATATATCCTACTGAGACTGAATTATGAAAATCAGAGCAGACAGATTACTAGTAAGATTGAAACAGTAACTAAAAACATCCCAACAAACAAAAGTTCAGGACTAATTGGCTTCACTGGTAGGTTCTACTAAATATTTTAAAGAATTAATATCAATCCTTCTCAAACTGTTCCAAAAATGTGAAGAGGATAAAACTTTCCCTAATTGTTTTGTAAGATGGGCATTGCCCTGATACCAAAACCAGATAAGGACACCACAAAAAAGTACAGGTCAATATCTCTTGTGAACATAGATGCAAAAATGATCAACAAAATTCTAAGAAGCCCAATTCAACAGCACATTAAAAAAGATCACATACCATGATCAAGTGGAATTTAGCTCCAGGATGCAAGGATGGTTCAACAAAAGCAAATCAAACATGATGAAATATTGCCATTGATGACAACATAGACATACCTTGAAGGCATTAAGCTAAGTGAAATAAGTAAGACAGATAAAGACAAATACTGTAAAATTTTAGATATATGTGGACTAAAAAATAGTTAAACTCATAGAAACAGAGTAAAATGGTGGTTTCTTGGGACTGAGAGGTGGGGAAATGAGGAAATGTTGGTCAAAGGGAACAGAATTTTAGTCATAAGATGATGAAGGTCTCGAGGTAAAATATTTGGTATGATTTCCTTAACATTACTGTATTACATATTAGAAAGTTACTAAGACAATAGAACTTAACTGTTCTCACCACAAGAAGGTAAAATTCTAATTATGTGAAATGATGGATGTTAACTAACTTTATTGTGATAATCATTTTTTAATATGTTGTGTGTATTAACCATCACATTGTACACCTTAAACTTACACAATGCTATATATCAATGCTATCTCAAAGAGGCTTGAAGAAAAAGAAATTCACTTTAATAATATTTAGCATCTAAATGACATATCACCCATTATTAAAAAGGGAGATTGAATTCAATTTATGAAAAACACAAGCAAATTTAGATGTCACTTTTTGAATCCATAAATTATAATAAGCATCAACATGAGCAGATATTTCTCTGAAAAATAAAAATCCTTAAAATACATCAAATTTGAAAATTATATTCGATGAAACTTATTTCTTTGGACATGTGACTTGAATGTGACTGAGATTGGGATGGATTACTCTTTGTATTCTCTCTGAATATATTGTTTGCTGTTTTAAACACAATCTATTTATTTGACTTAAATTCTCTCACATTATGAAAAGTAGGGGTGTCATAATGTAACACAAGAATAATAAGAATGACCTAATTTTCAGGAGATGGTAGACAGTAAAAACAAAAAGAATATTTTGCACATTTAGGTGGCAAGTGGGAAAATATATGTTTCTTGAGTTTCACTTGCAA